TGTTGTTGCAGGAAGTCCCGACGGAGAATACTTTTGCTGTAGTACATCTCTATATACATCGATACAACATTACGTGTTGATAGAAATCAACACGTAATGAAATGAGACCCCACGGTTTGATGATTGATAGGTGTGTGGGCTGTCTTTCATTTTGACACACAGAACAATGGGGGCTATCCACCCTTATCCACAATGTAAAGTCATTCACAGCCTCTTCCCTCTTCTCTCTGTGAGGAGCAGCAGGTTCAGCTTTCAGAACAAAGTAACACAAAACTAAAATGGCATTCATTTTTTTAAATATGTTGTGTAGTAATAGATTTATTTATTTTTCTTCTCAAGAGAGTACTAGAATGTGTATTTTATGTTAGTATTTCAAAAAATCTCCAGACCCCCCTGCAGGGGTTGGGTTTTCAGCATGTCAACTCTTTCACCTGTGGGGAATTTGCAGGATTGGCTCCAGGTCGCCCTTTTTATTTACTACAAGACAAATGTGCCTTTTTATTTCATACAGTTCAATTTGGATTGAGACAGGGAAATAATCTAAACCTCACGCGTGGCGTTTCACTGTCAAGGGGAGCGTGTATGTAATTACATTGCAAATACTGACTTGAGCCCCACCACTGTATGGGTTAGCCCTACCATAGATTACCCAACAAAAATACTCTGGAGCCGCCACTGCCTGGTTGACTATAAAACTATTCAAATTATGTTCAAAGCCGCAAATCAACTATTACCTCATAATATCCAGGGACTTTTCACACGGAGAGAAAGCATGCACATGTTGAGAGGAAACTGCATTTTCAAAAAACCACCCGTACGAACAAATGCCAAACTTCATTGCATCTCATCAAAAGGTGTTAGTCTGTGGAATAACTGTAATGATGCACTGAAATATTGTACAAGTCTATCTAAACTGAAAGTATTATTTAGGAGTCAAATCATTAATGGTTATGAACAGGACCTGTAAAATCCCATTTGTTGTTATTTCTTGTAATTGTAAAAGTAATTTCTTTCTGATTGTTTTGTAAAAAAACAAAAAGCAAACAAATTAACAAGACAAACATGTCGCTGATGACGATGACCTAATATTTTATTTATAAGAAAAATATATGCTAAACGTTTTTTTAAGCTTCTTCTTGCCCCTGTTGAACATGACAGACTATCTGAGAATTATTATTGTTTTTTTTTGTTATTATTTGTTTTTTGTACTTTGTTATAATTATTAATTTGAGTGAGAAAAAAAAAAGAGAATATATATATATATATATATATATATATATATATATATATATATGTATATATATTATTGTTGTATGTTTTTGTTTGACATGTTCAATAAACTGAAAAAAAAAAGGTTTCAGCAGGTAAAGACCTATTCATTTTTACGTTAGTAACTACTTGATGAATTTGAAGGGATTAAAGGGGCTCTATTCTGCTCATTTTCAGATTCATATATCTGTATCATGTGCTTCTACTGTGACATGTCAACATGCTTTGATGTTTAAACAGTTTTTTATTTTCCTGTGCTGCTCCACCTCTTTTCACCCTCTGAAACGCTGCGAAATAGCCCATGCTCTGAAAGCCCAGTCTGCTCTGATTTGTTGACGGCCAACTCTGTTGTAATTGGTCAACCACTTAAAGATGTTGCTAAAGCCCCCCCTCATTAGCATATCACGTACAATGTAAAGACAACCGCACAATAAGCTTGTATTAAATGCATACAGAGATTTGCAACGTTTAAGTGAACAACCTCGAATTGAAAATGGCTCCAAGCATAAGCCATGTTGTACATTTAAGCTGGGGGGTATACTACAAAGCAGGATTTTCGCTTAGCCGGCTAAATTCAGGGAAAACTCCGGCTTTCCGGTCCTACGAAGCTGATTCTCTTTTTAGCAGGCTAGATCTCCATGGTAACTTATGCTTAGCGGCTAACCTGGTCGGGACCAGGTTAGGTTGCAGGCTAAGAGATCAACTCAGTGAAGCACTGCCTGCTGACCAATCAGAGCTCAGTGTGCGATCAAGTCATATTACAGGAGAAAGGAAATACAGAAAAGCTGCCGTCGCAGGAAAGACGGCCGGCAAAAATCACCGACTGTGTGAACGTGAACATCAATAGAATATCACCTCCATCTTCAGAGCAATCTGACTATTATAACATTAGCGTTAAGAAAGCTTACTTAAATATCTGCCACAACATAAGTAACCGGATCAAAGTAACATTAAGTACAGTCCGCGGCACTGAGTGCAGACGTCGATGTGTCCCATTATCATTCATATCACATCATAATGTATCATATATTTCCTTATCTGAGTCAGCTGAGCCGTATCTGGCCGTGCAACACTCACAGTGTCACATACTGTATGCAGAAGTATTATTTTAAGCAACACATTAAGTTGACGAAACACTCGAGACAAATGTAATTAAAGTCAAATCGTGTTTTAGACGGGGCAGTGATATCATAACCCTGTTAATGTACGCATTCAAACACTTGTTCTTTTACCAGCTGTATTCACCTTGCAGGTGCAGCTATGTGGCTTTTATCCGGGATCAAGTGTTTAAGTCATGGATGTTTAAAGTTTAACTTCTTCATATGTCTAATATTATAGTTGACTTTTCATTCAGGAAGTATGACGCTGCGCTGTCAGTGCGCTTCTCCATGTTTGTGAATGGTCGAATGCTCCAAATACCACCCCTTTCATGTGAACGCGCACCTAACTAGATAGGACACGGCTGGCTTGAGCGATCCACTTGATAACCCGCGTCGTAGTACAGTTTAGCGAGAGCGCGTATGTTTTGGATTAGGCCAACCGGCTAACTCAAACATATCCAGGTTAGGTTGAACCAGCTTCGTAGTATAGGCCCCTGGTCATCTTTAGCTTGGCTGATTTGAATAATAATAATAATAATACATTTGATTTATCAAGAGCTTTATCAAATGCTGAAATACGCTTTATAGAAGTAAGAATAAATAAGATAAGATAAAAAGTCGAATTTAAATCGAGAAATAACACCACATTTATCAGAAGGACATCAATCACACGTTAAAAGCTAGTCTAACAGGTGAGTTGTGGTCAGAGTTCTGAAGGTGGGGGGGTCAGTACAGTCTCTGATTTGTTGTGGGAGTGAGTTCTAGAGGGTGGGGGCAGCGATGGAGAATGACCTGTCACCCCAGGTCCGATGCTTGGTTCGTGTGGGGATAGACAGGAGGTTGGCTTCTGATGAGCGAAGGCTGCGGGAGGGGGTGTGGTGGTGAGGGCTTTTGTGGGGATGTAAAGTTGGATGTCATCAGCGTAGTAATCTGTAGTAACACAGATATGACATTTTAACAGTGACTGAGTGCTTCAACAACAACGCTGGAGATATTATCAACTTACATGTAGCTTGTGTTAGCAAGTTAGCCAAACTAAGTTACAGTTTGTCATCTCTTCATTACACCCATGTGATATATTTAGCCAAGGCTACAACTGTGTTTGCAACTAAAGTCAGTGGCGAGCCGTGACTTATATACCTAGGCCCTCTGACCCCGGTTTTAAGATGCGTCACTGCACCACTTTATACACATGTATAAATACAGTCATTAGGCGAGTTCACACCGCAGTACTTTTCCCACTTTAGTTCCGATATAGTTCCGAAATGTTGCGTTCACACCAAAAAGAGCCGGAACTAAAATGAGTTCATGATAACCTTTTCACCCCCTTTTGTCTGCTAGAGAGCAGGGACTTTCGTGGGAGAAAAAGGTTCCTATTTCTGATTGGCTGGGCGGATTGCAAACCACCTCCCGTAAAACTCCCAAAAAGTTTTGTGAAGCCGCCATTTTATTATCCTCGCATTAGCATTATTAGCATTAGCCCAGCGCAGAAACGCAGAGAGACTAACTTATGGCAACACAAAATAAAACATGGGAGCGGTGGAGATGAGGAGGTGTCGGCGTTCTGGCGATTTACTCGGAAGGCTTCAGTAGAAGCTGCTGGGACTCCCAGCAGCTTCTACTGAAGCCAGTCCCCAACTCCGGGGACTTCCGGCCGGGGACTTTGGGCGGCAGTATACGCCGTGAAGTGGTTTGCGGCCTGCCAGTAAACCCAAAGCAGAAGAAGAAGAAGTGACGTCAGCGGCTTAATTTGCCTAATCCTCCCCCAGGGACTTATTCCGATGTGAACGTGATCTGTACTTAGTTCATGAGAACTAAAGAGTTCTCATGAACTAAGTTCTCATGAACCTTTGTGGGAAAAGTACTGCGGTGTGAATGCGCCTTATGGTATAAACCTCACAGCGGGCGGAACTTGTCATAAAGTCCGCGAAATAAAGCCCACCCATTTAGAGGGAAGATATGATTGGTCAATTGTACTGTCACTTGACATTACTCTCTCATTGAGTTACTATAGCTGGCCCTCTGTGAATGTAGAGAGGGACCAACAAGCCCTCCCGTCTTCACAGTAACTCGCAGAGACGGCATTTAACCCTTCACATTCCAACAGAAACTGAACAGGCAGATTCGAAGGATTTATTTCTTTGGAAATGTTATTTTAAAAACCCAGTATTTAATCAGTAACTGTTGAGAATATCTGACGTTAGTCTGTTGAATATAGTATGGTAGTCCAATAAAAGGAAGGTTCCGTTCCCATAGCAGTAAACGGCATATTCTCAACATTTGTTTGCAGGTATACAAACAACTCAACCTGTGCTTGGGTATGGCTCCGATGGAGCTTTATTCATAAGAACACAATACTTGAGTAAATACACTATGTGACTTTCCATCACTGCCAATACCTTGACTGATGACTAATCATACTTTCAGTCATCCAGGTTTCTACTGTTCTGATTTCTTGATGTTAGAATTACATCTGAAGAACATGTTTACTTTGTGATACTTGTTTTCCCTCATTCTTTTTTCAGATGTACTGTATATGCATCATCCATTCCTGCAACCATTTAAGTCTTCAGTGCCTATTAAAACTGCTTCATATTGCTTTATTAAATCCCTGTTTCTCTTTCTTCATAGGATGCCATTACTCAACATGAGTATGAATGACCTGTACAACCTTGTACAGATACGTGAACTAACTGGAGAGCCTTAGTAAATATCCAGCACTGTGGACACACGCCATACAAGCCACCAATAGATGATTTCAAGGACAGAGATCCTGACCACACTGCCCTCACCTCGAGCCTCAGCTAATTTTCCTTTTTCTACAATATTGTTGTACAATTATTTACCCAGTTAAGAGTACCCCTCCACCCCCTCCTTCTGACACAGTACCCCTTGAAGGGGAAATGCCTGTGTTGCTTAATGCCAATGCCACCTTCAGCTCCAAGCAGGAGCTCCTGGACGTTCAGGACTGCCCTCTCAGCGGAGGCCCCTCTCTGGACACCCCTAGCCCCCCAGACTCCCAGACAGGCAGCCCAGTAGGCTCAGCCCCGAGAAGTACTGGCAGCCCCGAAGATGTCCCCATTCGGCCCCATATTTTCACAGTGGCTTCCACAGCACCGGGGCAGCTATACAGGGTCGACACGAGACCCACCCCGGAGGCTCCCTTGGGGTTAAAGCTGATCTCAACCAAGGCGGATCAGCTATGTGGTTGGGGGGCCCTGACGCCCACAGCCATCCAAGGGTTCAACACCCCTCGCTGGGTGCTGTTTTTCCTGTGCGTGGCTTCTTTCCTCCAAGGGATGATCATCAACGGTTTCATTAACACGGTGGTGACCTCCATCGAGAGGCGCTTCGACCTGCGCAGCTACCAGGCAGGCCTCATCGCGAGCAGCTACGACATCGCCGCCTGCGTCTGCCTGGCGTTCGTCAGTTACTTCGGCGGGACAGGACACAAGCCTCGCTGGCTGGGGTGGGGGGTGCTGATCATGGCTGTGGGTTCTCTTGTGTTTGCCTTGCCTCACTTCACCACCCCCCTGTACCAAGTCAGTCTGACGGAGCCAACAGTCATGTGCTCGGACAACCGCACCAGCCCGTGCCGGGACAAAGAGGGCGGGGGACTGTCCAGCTATCGGTTTGTGTTCATGCTGGGGCAGTTTCTACATGGTGTGGGGGCCACGCCTCTCTACACACTGGGGGTCACATACCTGGATGAGAACGTCAAGTCCAACTATGCACCTGTTTATATTGGTGAGTTAGTCATTCAGAACAGCGTGTTATTTTGCTTTGTTTGTAATTATGTTATTTCTTACTAACTGGACCATCTTTTCTCTGTATGTCTTTGACTCGTTTTCATCCTCAACGACTTATTCCCGAGATACTTAACAGCACATTGGGTCAAGTCAATTTACACGTGGACATATTGATTAGTTGATATATCAAGATTTGTGAAACTAAGAATAACATTTTTTAATGGCAACCTTACGCACACTGAAACATTTGACACATTGAACTTGGGCTGACCAGTTCATTTAATTAATCAAACATTTTAATTTAAAAATAGTTTATAGATTTCAAATTGCATAAATAGTATATCATATAGATTTTCTCTTGCAATTTGTTAATCTCCTTCTTTTAAATGGCAATTGGATTTAAATAAATTGTTCAAACCAAGGTCTTAGGTGTGAATATATCACCTAACACACTGATGAGACACTAATGGTGCATTTCCACTACAGCGCGGAAGTCACTTTAAGCGTGCCGAGCCGTGCGGGCCCGTTTTTGGTTGCGTTTCCACTAGCGTAGTACCGGCTAGCGGGTACTATTTCACAGTTTTTCTGGCCCCATAAAATCGAGGTTCTTTCCGGGCCAACAACCAGGCTGAGTCGGGCTGAGTATGCTAAACTCAGGGTCGGCTCTAGAACAAATCGAATGGGGGGGAAATCATTTACCACGGGGGGGCACACGTTGCCATCAACAACCAACACACAAACACAACTTCAATTTAAAAAAACATGCTGTAAAGTCTATTGTCTTTCACACACATTGCATGGGTGTAGTGCTATTTTATAGCGCACCTATGACTTGTGCATACATGCACAGTTGTGGCACGACCACCAAAACAGAAACATATGGACATAGGCCACCATATAAAAAGTGTGCAAATATATTTAGCATCCTATCCATGTGAACATGTTTTAGGTGGGGGGTGGACCTAACCTCCTCTAGGAGGGTCTGGGGGCATGCTCCCCCAGGAAGATGTTTTTTAAAATATTGAAGTTAAATGCATCAATCTGGTGCACTTTGAAATCAAAATTAAGAGATCTATGGATAGCCTACATCTCTCAACACCCATATGAAACAGACCTGTACACAGATTTTCTTTATGATATTTTACAAATCACTCCCCTTTTAAACTGTATTATTGTGTTACTGTCATATAGTATTTCATACCTGTTTTCATTTATTCTCTTATTTTTTAATAACTATAATGATCATATAAAGGTGTTCCTCGCAAATACTTGTTTACATAAATGGCGACCAAACCGTTTGAGACCCACTGAGATAAATTACATTACATTTAGCTGGCGCTTTTATCCAAAGCGACTTACAATAAGTGCGTTCGACCAACAAGATACAAACTTGAAGAAAACAGAATCATATAAGTACATCAGGTTTCATAGAGCTAAAACATTTCAAGTGCTACTCAACTGGCTTTAGGTAAGCCAGTCCTTTATTAGTATATAAGTGCTTTGTTAGTAATTATATCGCTCAGTGGAGTTGAAAGAGATGAGTTTTCAGTCTGCGCCGGAAGATGTGTAAGCTATCTGCTGTCCTGATTTCAATGGGGAGCTCATTCCACATTGCAGTAGTTGCAGTAGTCTAGGCGTGAGATGATGTATCCTCCTGATGTTGTAAAGAGTGTATCTGCAGCAGCGGGTTGTAGCAGCGATGTTTGCAGTGAAGGACAGGTTGTTATCTAGGGTCACACCCAGATTCCTTTCAGTCTGAGTCGGGGAAACAACAGAGGTACCGATGTTGATTGTCAGGTCAAGAGAGAGAGAGGAAAAGCAGTTCAGTCTTGTCAAGGTTGAGCTTGAGGTGGTGAGCAGACATCCACTGAGAGATGTCAGCTAAACAAGCAGAGATGCGTGCGACGACCTGGGTCTCTGAGCGGGGAAAGGACAGAATTAATTCAGCTCAGCATTCAACACCATCATCCCCCAGCAGCTTGTAAAAAAACGTACAGACCTGGGCCTCAGCCCCTCTCTCTGTAACTGGTTGCTGGACTTCCTTACAGAGAGACCACAAGCTGTACGGGTCAACAATAACACCTCAAACACCCTCATACTGAGTATGGGGGCCCCCCAAGGATGTGTGCTCAGCCCCCTTCTCTTCACTCTGCTGACCCACGACTGCAAACCCAACTTCAGCGCCAACCACATCGTGAAGTTTGCAGACGACACTACTGTGGTGGGTCTCATCAGCAACAACGATGAGACTAACTACAGGAAGGAAGTGAACCAGCTGGCCCTGTGGTGCCAAAATAACAACCTCTTCCTCAACCTGGAGGATACAAAGGAGATAGTTGTTGACTTCAGGAGAACCCACCGTCGACCCCCTCTCCCCCTGACCATCAACGGTGCTGCTATGACGCAGGTGACCAGCACCAAATTCCTTGGGGTGACCATCACTGATGACCTCACCTGGAAAATCAACACCACCGCACTAGCGAGGAAAGCCCAGCAGTGCCTGTACTTCATCCGGAAGGTCAAGCGAGTTGGAGCATCACCCCCCATCGTGCTGTCCTTTTATCGAGGCGCCACCAAGAGCATCCTCAGCAGCTGTATCACGCTGTGGTTTGGAAGCTGCACCGCAGCCGACCGCAAGAGCCTGCAGCGCATAGTGAACTCTGCCCAGAGGATCATTGGTGCCTCGCTCCCCTCACTACAGGACATATACAACACCCGCCTCACCCACAAAGCACTCAGCATTGTGGGTGACTCCACCCACCCCTCCAACAGCCTCTTCATTCTCAGGTAGAAGGTTCCGCAGCCTCAGCTCGGGCACCGTCAGGCTGAGGAACAGCTTCCTCCATCAGGCGGTCAGGATGCTGAACTCTCCTCTCCCTACCTCCCTCTCTCCCCCCCTTTGACATCTCTCCCCTGAACTCTCCACCCTGCCTCCAACCTTTCTCCCCTGCCCCAAATGGACGGACGGACACACACACATAGTAACACACACACACACACACACACACACACACACACACACACACACACACACACACACACACACACACACACACACACACACACACACACACACTTCCTCATCCAGCACCAGTCACTTTTCTGCCATCTCCGCTGAACACTTTAACATATTATTAACATTTTAAACTGTATACCCCGGTTATCTAGACCCTTTTTGTTTTATTGTTGTTGTTTGATGTATATATGTCACACTGTAGGACCTCGAGAAACAATATTTCGAGATTTCTGGATGTACAACATGTAGAATTATTGACAATAAAGCTGACTTTGACTTTTTGACTTTGACTAATTGGGTGTCGTCAGCGTAGCAATGGTATGAAAAACCATGCGGGCTAATGACAGATTCGAGCGAGTTTGTGTACAAGGAGAAGAGGAGGGGACCAATAACAGAGCCCTGAGGGACCCCTGTAGTTAATTGACAAGGGTCGGACTCTGACCCTCTCCAAGTTACCCTGTAGGTACGGTCTTTGAGGTATGAGGTGAGGAGGGAAAGAGCAGAGCCTGAAACTCCAAGTTCTTGGAGAGTGCGAAGGAGGATCTGATGATTCACCGTGTCGAATGCAGCAGACAGGTCCAAAAGGATGATGACAGAGGAGAGGGATGCTGCTTTGGCAGTGTGCAGTTCCTCAGAGACAGCAAGGAGGGCAGTTTCTGTGGAGTGACCTGCCTTGAAACCAGACTGGTGTGGATCCAGAAGGTTGTTCTGATGGAGATAACAGGAGAGTTGTTTAAAGACAGCGCATTCAAGTGTTTTAGACAGGAACGGGAGGAGAGAGACAGGCCTGTAGTTTATAACATCAGACGGGTTGAGAGTGGTTTTTTTTAGGAGAGGGTTTACTCTTGCCTCCTTGAGACTGGAAAGTGACCAGAAGTTAGAGAAGTGTTGATTAAATGGGAGAGAAATGGTAGATCAGGAGCGATAGTCTGAAGGAGGTTTGAGGGGATATGGTCCAGAGGACAGGTGGTAGGGCGGGCAGAGGTAATGAGGGTAAGAACCTCACTTGGAGAGAGAGGGGAAAAGGAGGTTAGTGTGTGGGTGAAAGGTGGGTCTGGTGACCCAGTGGTGGGTAAAGGTGAGTCAGAAAAAGAATAGCGAATATCATCAACCTTTTTTCAAAGTGGTTAACAAAGTCGCTTGACAGAAGGGAGGAGGGGGAAGGGGCTTTGGGGGGGTCCAGGAGGGAGGGGAAGATGGAAAATAGTTTTTTGGGATTGGAATGGATCTTATCTTGAAAGAAATTGCTTATTGCCTGAGAGATCGAAGCAGAGAAAGAGGAGAGGAGAGCCTGAGGTTAGGAGGTCGTCATGGTGTTTGGATTTCCGCTCTGCTGCCCGAAGGATGGTTCTATTAGCACGCAGTGCGTCATTTAGCCAGGAAGCAGGAGGGGACTGACGAGCCTGCCGAGATGTGAGAGGACAGAGAGAGTCCAGAGAGGATGAGAGAGTAGAGAGGAGAGTTTCTGCAGCAGAGTTTGGAGGCAGGAGTTGGAACGAGTCAGAGGAAGGGAGGGCTGAGAGCACCGATGAGGCAAGGGTAGAGGGGGAGAGGGAACGAAGGTTGCGGCGGACAGGTGCAGGATGAGAATAGATTAGTTTGTTATGTTTGGAAAGGGGTAGAGAGAATGAAATGAAGAAGTGATCCGAGGTGTGGAGCGGGTTTACAGAGAGGTTAGAAGTAGTGCAGTTCCTTGAGAATATGAGATCAAGGACATTTCCAGCTTTATGAGTTGGTGGGGATGGAGACAGTGAGAAGGCAAAGGCGGTTAAAATAAATATTAATTCAGATGTCTTCCCTGTCTCGAGGTTGAAGTCTCCGAGAAGTACAGCGGGAGGGCCAGTTTCAGGGATGTGTGAGAGGAGATGATCTAATTCCTCCAAGAAGTCCCCCAAGGCGCCTGGTGGACGGTAGAGAACATCAATGGTTAATTGTATAGGATGGGTTACAGTGACGGCATGGAATTCAAAGGAGGAAGGAGT